TACTTGCATATGTATATTTTTATACTCAACAAGATCATCCTCTTGGCCTCCTCCTCTGAACTAGGGAAAAAGAATACATCCAGTATTCACACCTGAACCAGATTCAGCTGAATGTATTTCTTTACTACATTGTCAACAAGTTTTTGCTCTCTACTGATTTTCTTAAAGTCCCAGCTGCTGAAACCATAAGACTGCATAAACATCTCAGCTTCCATTTCAAAAACAAAGTAAATTTCTAGTCTTTTTGACTGCAAAGGAAGGCTTAAAAACAAGAAGCAAGTAATCCCCAAGGCTCAAAACCCAAAAGGAAAACAGAACAACATATATTTTTTTTAATCATGATCTTAAAGTCCAGGTCCTGATTTGGGTGCCTGGATTAATGATTTCCAAACCTGTGAGGCTGTCAGCACTGATTTTACAGTACTGTCACTATGCAATGTGATCTTATAGAATATATTTAAACTACTAAGACTTGAAATATAATTCAAACAAACCTAATCAAATTAACAATTGATCATGTTAAGTACAGGCTATTGTGCTAAATTAAGACTTATTCTCATGAGCTTCTTTATCATGCTAAGCATGGTGGCCTTCTGTCCGTTTATTTTGTTTCAGACTGGCTCCCCTTGATGGCCAACTTAACACACACCAATTCATGGATTTCCCTTTTATTAATTAAACTTTTAGGGGAGGAAAATGAGTTTGTTCTGAACAATTAGGGGGTCCTGTTCCCTTGCAGCTACTGATGAGGCTGCCTGATCTAGTCATTTGAGTAGGGGAAGGAAAGTTGGGACTCCTGCGTACTTAATCTTTGCTTGGGCCCTTACTAGCTATGGGTCTGATCCAGTACCCATTGAAGTCCATGGAAAAAGTCTCCTGGACCTCAGCAGGTGCTGGGTGTGACCCTCTGGGACCTTAGATAAGTCATATAATTTCTCCATGCTTTGGTTCCCCCATTTATAGAGTGGTGATAATAACACAACCTCAAGGTTGCTGTGAGGTTTGATTAATTACATACCAGTACTTGCCATCACTTGGAAGTTGGAAACATTGGCTTGATGAGGGAAGAACAGGAAGATAGTATTTAAAGCCACTAATTAAATGAATCCAATAAGAAAATGGCATAATATATAATGTATACATACACACGTAGACCTAGGCTAAAGGTTAAAATATTAAAGATCTGGTCCAAACTCCAGGGAATGTTAATGCTTATACATGCTATTTATGGGGGCATTTTCCCTTAAAGAGGGACATATGACATTTGTTTTAACAGGACCAGAGACTAATTCAGTTGGTAGTTAGATTGGGCTTAATGTCACCGTTGTTTCTTTCCTCACGACATGAGCAAATAAATATGTTCTCATTATGTCTCCCCAGACCCCGACAGAAGTGCAATTTGCACAAACATTTCACCAGAAATTCTACATTCAAGGAGGATTTGCTCTAGAAGGCCTGATACTGTGAGGTGCTGAGCATCCTGACTCTCTGATTTCAGTGTGGGATGCAGGCACTAGTCAGCCACGCCACAAACAACATAAAGGAGGCTGTGTGAAAAACACAGGAGACACCTTAGTGCCGAGAGGCAGCCCCCTGCACAGTGGGGCTCACCCCCCACCCAGCATGGGCCTGCTGCACAGGATTAGCACGTGGCAACTTGGTGCTCTCTGCAAAGATACATCTCAGCCACTCTTTACTGGATCCAGGCTGCAGCGGAACAAGTGGCCCCAAGCAGGCCATGCCCCATAAAATACATGCAGGCGCTGTCCCTAGCTCTGGATATTCAGTACTGCTCAGGATCAGGCTGTAAACCACACTAAGCAAGACACAATCAGGGTTCCCAAAGCTCATGTAAAAGCACACCTGGGGAGGGGCCTTCTCCTGAGGTCCTCAACGCTGACACCGCAGAGTCCTGGCGCCACAGAGTCCTGGGGAAGCACTTCCCCGCTGGGCCTGGCCCAGGGATGCAGACAGCTTCTGCTGTTGCTATAGAAACTGTGTGCCACTGCCAATCTTGTTCGACTTCCAGGGAAGGGTGACATCACTTAAAGGCACCGCTCCCTCTTCCTTCCCCACCTGTGGAAATGAGCCCAGAGCAAAAACTTCCAGTATGCGCAATGCTGCTGTGGCTGGGGAGTCACTCTTGAGTGTGGCTGAAGGAATCGTGAAAGCTTTGCAGCTGCCAGCTTTTTCCCCTAACAGGTGGTTATTTGGTGGCAAGGGATTCAAAGGGGATTTCCAGTCTCTGCAGGTCATTGCAATGAGGAGTGGTTAAGATTCCTTTAAAGCCAGTGAGGACCCTGGGAGTTGCTGAAGTTTTTTGGTGACTAAACTATTTTGGTCCAGCTCTTCAGCAGGGGCCTGATCCAAAGCCCTTTGTGCTGAATAGGAGCCTCTCCTCTCTTTCACCCTAGGAGCAAGGAGAGGCATGGCAGGGAGGGCAATGCACATTGCAACCTGCCACTGGATCAGTAGCGAGAAATGGACATGGAGGATCTAAAACCAGTCACACTGTGTGACCCTATCCTGGCTATGAGCATGATGCCAACCCCTCTAGCCAGGTGTTGGAGGAATATGACTGTCTTACATTTGCTAGCACTTACAGAACTAGTCGCACCAGTATGTTCTCACTGAATTGACTTTATCTGAAAGTGGCTTCAGTGGAATTTGAATCAGGACCTAGCTGAGTACAATACACGAAGAGCCTCTCCTTTTGCTCCTTTATGCAGAGCCTAGACATATTCAGTCACCACAACTACCTGTATTCTGCTCCAGTGTTGTTCCCCCCTTCACTCTCCTTCCCTTTGTCCCCTCCCTCCTCTCAATGTGCGGGGCATCCGAAAGAATTGAGGAGGAGGAGGGTAGAGTTGACTAGTCCCAGGTAAAGGAACGCACTTACAGTTTCTTTATGGATGGTCCAGGACATTCACTCACACACACACATCCTAAACACCTGGCAGCATGATGTATAAATGCCAAAATCCATCTTCCCAAGAGGGCACAACTCAGGAAAAAGAAACAGGAAGAAAGATAATCCCACTTGGTCCAGTTAACAAACCAGGGAGAAGTTGATTTGACTGTCTCTCTAACAAAATCATGCTTTTGCACCCTTATTCTGCCTCCTCAGAGCATCAGAGAGCATTTTACAAACACTGATTACATTTCACAACCCTTGTGAGACAGGGAATGTACCCATCAGATACAACCTTTTGCTATTATCCTTGCACCTTGGGATGTGAAACACTGATGTTTCACAGTTCCCAAACTGAATTCAGGCCCAGCGGACTTTGTTAGGTGCAGCATGCCTTGTGAAAAGCTGAATAACCCTGAAATGATACGGTGGCAGTCTTTCCTGTGAGATATCTGTTACACCTGGACCACTGTGTTGAATGCGGAAACCAAACAATTCAATAACCTGACAAAAGCCGAAACAAATGGGGGTATGACTTAGGAAGAGAATCCAGGAATTGTGATTACCAGTATCCTGCTGTAACCTCTAGGAAATATGCATGTTTATTCCAATCAGTTCATACTTCATTCCTAGAGCCTAGAGAAATTAAGATGATCATTGCTTGACCAAAGGAGTTGATCTTTCCCCAGGTTTCATTAAAAAGATTTCAGCTACTTAATTAAAAATGAGATTTTTCTAGCCACCAATAAACACGGAGGGTGGGAGTTTCTCGTCAGCAATTAAGTATTTATTTTTAACGAGGATGAAGTGCTGATTCTGGAATCATTAGAACCTTTGGGTTACTTCATATCCTGTATGGTGGCTGTTAGGCCATGAACGTTTTCAATTAGCCTCTCTTATAAGCTCCAGCTGCTGGGCCTTGGGAAGGGGCCTTGATTCATGTAGAGCAATATTTATGCTGGGCCATTTCAAAATAAAATTTGGGCCCTTTTCTCAAAAAATGTGAGGCACAGTTCCTTGCTGGACAGGGGCCAATTTGAAGTGTATTGAAATGAAGCTTTGCAAATACAAGCTGTGTATTTTTTTTTACACAAAGTTACCCAACTCTGCTTTCCTCAGTTGTGTCACTATTGGATGTGGAGAAGAGAATTGTCTCAAGTCCAGAAAGCAAAGACTGAAAACACCTCCAACCCAATGCAATTATTGTCGGAGTAGATGCAGCCTATCTCTGTAACAGTTGTAGAGTACTTGGGTGCTGTTTGGGAGGAACAGTGCTAGAGAAATACAAAGTGTTCTTAGCTCATACAGTATTTAGTAAGACTGAGCTAAGAGTTGATGTGATATATTGGATTGTGCGCAAAGCTGGTATAATTCCTGAGCATTATGCCCAGCTCTGTTACTAACCCCTGTGCTCATGGGCACATCACTTAGTCTCACCTTCGTTCCTCACCGGCCACATGCAAATAATAATTCTGACCTAGCAAAGGAAAAATGCCACCTGTGCTGATGTTTCTAGGATTGTCCCACTCTGAATGGCTGCAGGAGCACCAGGCCCAGTCACTACATAGGCTGATGGCTCCTGAGGGCACCTACAACATTGCCACGCTTAAAATGATGCCTCGCCTGGCATTTTAGTACAGGGGAGTCTTGGCCCCTGGGATACTGAGTCATTAAGCTACTTCTGGGGGGTCCCTGCCTGGTGGGCTGGTGACACTTGGCTGATGTGGCTATGCTTTAGCCTAATCCGGTGCTGGCCTGTAGCATTGCTCCTCTATGCCGATCAACTGCGATACACAACTTGGACCCTGTGAGCGACGGGGCAAGGCTCTGGGACATGACAGGCGTCGGCTGGGCTGCGAAGACGTTCTCCGTGCCACGGTGCCCGGAAGTGGTGACACGCTGCCATCGCCCACTGGCACCGGAGGGTGGGGATGTGCGGCTGCCGGAGGCTTCAGGCGGCGAGTGAACGACCCCTCTGCCAAGCATCACCCAGGGAGGCTCCTGCCCTCCGCCTGCCCCGCCTTGAGGTGTCTGGAGCCCCGCCGGGCGCCTGAGCGCTGGGAAGGGCCCGGGGCGGGGCGCGGTTTGAAGCCGGAACAGGGAGGCCGGCGGTCGCAGTTCCGCGGGGGAAGGCCGGGCGGGCGGACGCTTCCTGCCGCTGGGGAGACAGGCGGCGGCGGCCGCTGGTTCCGGGACTCGCAGCGGCAGGATCAGGAGCTGCAGGAGGCACCGAGCCGCCGTGTGAGTGCCGCCCGCCCGGTGACGCCTGCCACTGCCAGTCTCCGGCTCGGCGGCCGCGGCCGGGC